CGAGCCTTGCGAGCCGTGAGGGGAGTCGTGAGGGGCTGGCGCCACCTGGAAAAATGGATGCAGGCCCCGCCCCGGAAAAAACGGAACCGTTCATTTGGGCGTTGCTCAAAATAAGGGGATGCGTGCTTTTGTTGGTTTAAGTTTTCCGCTTTTGGGGTTGCTTTGAAGGGAAGCCAAAGTTGACACCACCATTTGGGGGTCCCCTGTTTCAAGACACTCCCATTCCTAAAATGCCCAGTTTCCTTCTGTTTCCCCTTTAAAGCCATCCAAAAGGGGGTGTTCTTTTGGAGAACCCCCCTCCATTTGACAATGTTTAGATGGCGGGGATGGCCATAAACCCCACCGGGCTATTAGATAGCTGCAAGGGAACCAGGACAAGGATGCACGCAATCACACGCATGGCCTTGACAATCGGTGCGCAAGCTTTGGTCTTGACTCCAAGATGGTTTCCACTATCCCCAAACCACCCCAGGCGAGAATAGGCATACACCCTTTAGTGGCAAGACGAAGAAGGGCTGTTCCCGCTAAACCCATGGGTCCTGGTGGTCTGGTAGTGGAAGTCTTAGATGGTTTCCATTAGCATGGCCCAACGGAAGAGGCCGTGCCATTCACCTTTTGGAACTGGGAACCCTCAACATGTGGAAGCTGTTTGGGCACCTGCCCAGGAAAACGGAAAAAGCAAAACAGCGGTGTGCGGTCAAGTGGCAAAATTGGTTTTCACCTATTTCCTGCATCTTTCACAGGCAGATGCTTCATGGCGGCTTCATGAAAGAGAGATGCTTTTTGGTCAGCATATGTGAGCATTCTCGATAAGAGTCGATACTGTTAATGCCTGCTCAGCTTCAGGAGTGTGGTGTGAAAGAGTCTGGCATGCGCGGAAAAGGACATAAATCATTCCAAAGCCGACTTTCAGGGTATCACTGTGTCATGGTCAAAAGACCCCTTAGAGTTCATAGGGATGGCGCCACAATAAAGGTTCCTCTTGGGTCAGCCACGACCATGACACACCGATGCGCAGGTTTGATCGTGGTACACATGCCATGCTTGTGGGTAGAGTGCCGCATACGTTCGTTGCCATGAACCAAGGTCATGAAGGATTCACACGCAGTTCAGAAGCTTGTTCCGGCCTCAGGTCTGCATATCAGTTAATCATGATTGTAGCGGTTCATTTCCCAGAATGTTCAACCATCTTTCTTCTCAACAACAAGTGATGTCCTTTGTGTTTGAGGGTTTTCTGGAAAGAACAAATCCTGCAAAGAATGCTACCGCCAACCTTGTCCGAAGCAAGGAAGAGACGTTGCGTGTTCAGCCCAGCTCGACGCAAAGACACTAACATTGCTCTGTTTATTTTGGCCTTGTTGGGAACTGGCGGCAGGGCAGCCAGATGTTTGGCTGCAAGCATGTTGGAGCAAAGCGCCGGTCCATGGTACATTCTTCGGCCACTGTTGACTTGGGACAAATACCAGTAGAGCCGGCGAAGCCGGTGGGCGGAAGTTTCAAAGATATAAAAACTATAGTTCTCTTTTTCTTTCTTTTCTTGACTCTTTTTCTCCGTCATTCTTTCTTTCCTTCCTTCCTCCCTTCTTTCCTTCTTTCTATCTGTCTTTTCTTTCTTTCTTTCGTTTGCTTGTCTATCTATCTTTCTCTACCTATCTATACCTAACTACCTGTCTATCTATCTCTCGTGTTATCTATCTATCTGCTTATCTATCTCTCTATCTCTCTATCCATCTTCTCTATCTATCTCTCTATCTCTCTATCTATATATCTACCAATCTCTCTATCTCTCTATCTCTCTATCTATCCATCTCTCTAGATCCCTCTATGTCTGTCTCTCTCTTTCTCTATCTGTCTCTCTATCCCTCTTTCTTTCTATCTTTCTATCTCTCTATCTCTCTTTCTTTCTATTTATTTATCTCTCTATCTCTTTCTCTATCTCTTTCTATCTATGTATCTATCTATCTATCTATCCATCTATCTCTCCATCTATCTCCCGCGTATCTATCTATCTATCTATCTATCTCTTTCTCTATCTCTTTCTATCTTGACTTCGCGTACTACTTTCGTACTTAAAAGTTGCGATTTTCGAGCCCCACTGCGAAAGTGGACTTCACGTACTACTTTCGTACTTAAAAGTTGCAATTTTCAAGCCCCAGCTGCGAAAGTGGACTTCGCGCACTACTTTCGTACTTAAAAGTTGCGATTTTCGAGCCCCAGCTACGAAAGTGGACTTCGCGTACTACTTTCGTACTTAAAAGTTGCGATTTTCAAGCCCGGCTGCGAAAGTGGACTTCGCGCACTACTTTCGTACTTAAAAGTTGCGATTTTCGAGCCCCAGCTACGAAAGTGGACTTCGCGCACTACTTTCGTACTTAAAAGTTGCGATTTTCAAGCCCGGCTGCGAAAGTTGACTTCGCTTACTACTTTCGCACTTAAAAGTTGCGATTTTCGAGCCTCGGCTGCGAAAGTTGACCTTGCAAAAGTGCTGCGCTTGCCACGAAATCTGTGCTTGACCTCGCGAAAGTGCTGCGCCTGCCACGAAATCTGTACTTGACCTTGCGAAAGTGATGCGTTTGCCACGAATTTTGCACTTGACCTTGCGAAAGTACTGCACCTGCCACGAATTCTGTACTTGACCTTGCGAAAGTGATGCCCCAGCCACGAAATCTGTTCCTGACCTCGCGAAAATGCTGCCCCTGCCACGAAATCTGCACGCGCCGCCTTGCGCGTCCGTGCCAATGGGATTTGCGATGCGTCCGTGCCAGAAGTAAGAAAATGCCGCGCCTGTCACGATATCTGCACTTGACCTTGCGAAAGTGATGCACCTGCCACGAAATCTGTACCCGACCTTGCCAAAACGCCGCGCCTGCCACGAAATTTGAACCTTGCGAAAGCGTGCGCGTCCGTGCTAATGGTCCCGGCGCGAGCCCGTCCCGAGCCCGTCCCGAGACCGTCCCCGTCAGACGCCGCGACCGGGGTAGCTTTCAGCCAGCCGGAGAAGCCAAAACCCGCAGAGGGTTGCACTTTTTGCAGATTTCTATTCCCCCGCCACACGTATACGCACGTTTTCTCGCACGCATTCATTCTTTCTTCATCTCATCTTTGCACAGAGCTACCTTTCAATTAGTTTCCGTAACTCGGAAGTTTCCTTCTAAACTTCCTTTGATAAAGGACAAAACTAGTCAGACGTATTCCCCCAAAATGAGGCCATCCTTCGGATTTATCCGAAGTGATGGTCGCTGGGGTGACACGATGTGGCTGTCACCTGCAGACGCGAAGACGCGAACTCAGCCAACCGAGATCCAGAAGGAAGTCGCCCCGGCAGTGGGTCAAGAGCTGCCCGCCTGCATGGCAGCGCATTGTTAGGTGCATGAAGGAGGAGGCTATGCTGGGCCTGGTTTATTTTGAAGCCACTTACCTACCCCATGAAGGCTATGGCACACTGAGGCGCTTGATTGTTTTCTGGCGGACGAAACATTTGGGACACACGGAATCTGGTTTACCTTGCTGAATAGGGGCTTGTCTGTTTTGCTAGTTGCCTGTATGAGAGGTGAGAGGTGAGTCCAGAGGACGAACCATATGGATGCTCTCCATTTGATGAGGGCGTCGATATTCCTACACTAGGCTTTAAACTCACCACAGGTCAAATTTTCGGTACCCTGCCATAAGGCACCAGCGATTCTCCTTCGAGGTGGCCATTGCACCCTGAAATTGAGGAAACCAAACCTCGCTGCCAAGACATTTGGCTCTAGCTATTTGCATCGCTCCGGAACGTGACGCGCACCATGGCCCAAGTGTGCGGTGTTATGCAGGTGGCTCGCTTGAAGTTTCACATTTGTTTTCTTTCCTTTGTTTTTGCTGGTTCCGCCAAGGTGATAGGAATCTCAGGGTTTGGTCAGTGGAAAAGGATTCCCACAACTGGGGGCATTTCAAACTGCCCACCTGAACTCCAAGAGAGGAACATGACATTTTGGCCCAGCGTTCAGCTATCACAACATTGTTTCTAACACCGGCGCCTTTGGTCTTTCCTTCAGGTGTTCTTGGCACTGGCAACTTGCAGCTTCGGCATGGCGACCGACATGCAAGTCCATGGTGGCACCAACTTCTTGCTGATCGGAAACCCGGGAACGGGCAAGAGCACCATCCTGAACGGCATGATTGGCAGGTAGGGCTCTCAACTTGAAGGCTTGCCCCAGAAATGCTGATTGGTTGACTGGCGAGGGGGGACTGTGCTAATGTTTTGTTGCAATTGTCTTGAAACATCTATTCTTATAATCAACCTCCAGAACCAAGCTACGGTGACGGCATTTGAATGGGGTCCGGGCCAGGGCTTCAGGCCGGCAGTACCCCTTTGGGACGTGTAGAACTGCACAGGTTGGCCTTCAAGTCGGGCGTCGGGGACCTAAGGCGGCATGACCCAATTTGATGTCCAGGAAGGTCAGCATCGCTTGGACACGCCGGGCCTTTCAGAAGCCTGGCTGCAGCTTTTCCTATGGTCTTAGGCCATGGCTCTGGATTGCTTTAGATGACCATTTTCCGCATGAACACCCCAGAATGAGTCGGAAACAGTAGCCACAGGGATGGGAATTCTACTTTGGTATCACAGTGGAGTTGTCTATCAAGCCATGACCATGGGTTTACTTCTTATTCCGTTTGCTAACCCTCACCAAGGATGTTAAAATGCGTCAGAAAGCAGCAGATGCTATCACCGAAGCTCTGAAGCAGAATGGCTACTACAAGGTTTTCTTCTCAACGCAGCACCTATTCCCCACTACGGTGTGATCATCAACCAGCTGTCGGCTCGTGAATACAAAGACCTCTTGTCACAAGACAGTGGTGCTGCCAAGAATGTCCTTGGTGCGATTTGGACAGCCGTGGGGCGCGAAAAGGCAAGCGCCCATGTCCATTTTTGGAAGCGCGAGGAAGACTTGGAGGGCGCAGACAATGTGGTGAAATCTTTGCCCAACGATTTGTCTGCTTTCATTTCGCAGACACCTGGCATGGAGATCAGGAGCCAAGAAGTGCAACAGGTCCGAGCCAATGAGTTTGAGCACAAGATGGAGCAACTTGAGCAGAGGATTACCAATCTGCAGAGAGACAAGGAACAACTACACGTGGAGATGCAGAAAGTTTGGAAGGGCAGGGATGAGGAGATTCAGCGGATTCGTTCTCAGCAACAGTGGGAGATGCAGCGGATTCGTTCTCAGCAAGAGCGCTCCCGAGGGTCCACTACGGCTGGAGAAGTCTTTGCCGGCAATATATTGAGTGCATTAGCCCTCGGTGGTATGGCTTTAATGGTGCGTTGAACAATGACGTTTTGTAAGCCAACGTGTGGGCGGTTTTGACCCCTCGCCTGCATGCTTTTAGGAGACCTTGAATTCGTAGATTGAATCCAGAAGGATTCTGATATTAGATACACATGTTGAAAAATGCGTGTTTCTTCAATTCAAATACGATTGAACCTTGGATTGTCATATTGAATACGGTGTAACGTTGCGGACAGTTGGATAGATTGACAGTATTGAACATGACAAAGCAACGTATGTCTTGCTAAAATTATTTTTGAGAGCAACCACACATGAGTTGTTCTGTTTGAACAAAACCATCTGCAAATATCGGGCGATTCGATGAACACGTTTCCATCTCCATAGAATCAACTATTTGCATATTGAGAGTGCGCACTGTGTGAATTAATCATGTCCAGAATTTGTATTGCTTTGCATGATGTATATGTTGTTCTTCACCACCTATGTTTGGATTCGTTTGTTGTGCTTGCTGGATCTGGAGAGATGATGTGTGATTATTGAGAATTCGTGGTTTAAGTCTTACCATCTATGTCCTCTTGCTGGAGTGCCAAGTCTGATAGTATTGATGACTGCTACCTTTTCACAATCATGATGGCGAGTTTTCATTTTGTGTGCTTTGTTGAAATTTGGCTGGAGACATTTTAAGTATGGTGAGTGTTGGTATTTGTGCTCCCACCATCCCCTCAGTTTATGTTTTTTCTTAGTTTTTTAGGGTGTAGCCTCAAAAAGCTAAACTTTAGAATGGGGCCCATGCCTACCTCTGGCCAAGGATCAAAGCTCTGCTCAAGCGGCTGCTGGCGGCCAACCCTGCTGCGGGCCAAAGGTTTGGTGTCCCCTTTGCTTGTTGGCTCAAGTGGGCGTGGCTCAAAATTAAACAGGAGGGGTTACGCAGATGTTGGTCCATGTTTCCACTTGCCAGGGTTCCATTTTGGTACCGGTTTTTTGAGCCACAGCCAAGTGACTGTTCAGACTTTGCTTGGGGCAATTGCTTGCATACGGGCGGCGGGTCTTTTTGTTGAGGGTACAAAGTTCCTTTCGTGGTTTTGACAGCAGACCAAAGGAGTCAACCGATCACTTTGGAAGGTCCATAAAAGATCCTCCCCACAGGTGTCCTTCTTGGTTGTTTTTTGGAAAAAGAAAAATAGAGGGCGAGCCCTGGTTTAAAAGTGGTGGTTTAAAATCATCTACCAGGGAAACCCATCTATTTCCTCTAAAAGGGGACACCTATGGAATCCTCCCAGGGTGCTCGAAGCCCCACATCCCATTGGATCCCATGGCCTTGAGGCCACAAGGCCCACGGCCACCGCCTGCATTCGGAAGAAGCTCTTCAAGAAAGGGCCTGGGCCCTTGAGCATGTCTTTTCGGGTGGCTTTAAAAGGATATATTTTTATTTTTTTTTGGGGGGGGGAAGACACAAGCAGGTCGCACATGTCGTTGGGACCTCAGTTGTTTGGGCCCCCTGGCTCCATGTTTTTTGTTGTCGCCATGGTGAATAGCAAGGCTTGGGTGATGCCCTGATCTCACTTGAGTGTTTCTCCAAATTGCCCACCGCCCTTCAGGTTGCGGATGACCTGATCTCACTTGAGAGTTCCTCCAAATCAGGGTTGGTTTGGCTCTCCCCGTTGAACAACTCCCAAAATAGGAGGAAACGCCCACCCGAAACTTGCCCATGTTGGCAAGTCCTGCAGGTTCTCCCTCTCCAAGCAGACCTTCGGCCAGTCGCTGGGCGAGGTGCGCTCCAGATGGCTTCCAGCTGTTGTTGTTGGCGGCTTTTAAAGGGAACCGGGACATGTGTGTCATTTGATGTCTATTTTGCCAGGGGACTCAAGCAAATGGAAGATAGGGTTTGTGGCATCTGTGAATTGGCCCATGTCCATAGTTTGTCTTTTTCGATCGACTAGTTTGGGGACGGGAAATAGATTGGTTCCTCTGGCTTAGATTAGCTTTGACATGCATTCATTTATCAGTGAAACATCGATTTTCCCAAAGTTCTCCTATGCGCAGGTCGGCTTCGACTGAAAGGAGATTGGGTGATGTTTAATTACTTGCCAATGGCCGTGATGTCTGCTCAAAGACCAGGGAATTCTCGGCGTGCCGACTGCTTTTGAACCGTGTCCTAGTAAGACCGGAACGAGATACAGCCTGCACAGCTTGCAGGGAATTACTGAAAACTTCAACCAATAAACTGGGCAGGCAGGCATGAGTGACTGTAAGCAAAAGCAAGCAAGACAACCTACAAAACTTTAGATGCAAAGATTCAATGCAGCAATCACCGCATGCAAGCACTCAATGCACGCTATGCAAGCAGTCTCATACTTTGTGGACCTTTGAAATCGGTTGACCTGGAGAGGTCTCAGGTTGTCTGGGACCCCTGCTGAGCAGTGAGCAAAGAGCCTCGCAGAAAGTTCGCGGCAGGCCGTGGAGGATCCTCCTTTGGAGCCACTGGAGGCTCGCGCTGGGGAAGGGCGCCGCTGGATTTGGGACATGAATTTGGGATTTGGATTTGGATTTGGAGGATTGCGCTGGGGAAAATCGAACCTGCGAACATCTGTGAACCATGCAATCCATCAACCATGTTTCCTCTTAAATACACGCACTTATGCGCTTCCCCGCACAATCGAAGTGTGATGTTCGTCTGACCCGCGTGATTTCTTCAAGCTGAGGCCATGTGACAGTTCCCAGAGATCAAAGATGGAGCTTGTGAAGTTTGCCCGGGTGGCAAGCACTCAGCTCAAAGTTGGGGAGGGTGGAGCTTGAAACGCGGGTTCCAGCTGAAAGGTGGCGTGGTACCGTTTGATGATTCCATATATGTGTTCCAAACAATCGCAAGGCAGCCAGTTATGCTTCTCCAGATAGCATTCGTCGAGAATCAGGATTGACTCCGGACTTAATATAAGATGTGCTTGGCTTATTTGTTCTCGGCTGAATTGCGAATCAACCATATTGGCCATGGTTCAAAGCCAATGGTACCATTTTAAGATAGGTGCACCACCCATTTTAATCAATTTTAGTGGGGATTGGGATGTTCACTGGGGGTGGGGTTTTGACCCATCTGGCTCCTGGCTATTACGGCCACCGGCAAATCCACAGTGTCAGTGATGCCACAGTGTCAGTGATGCCCATAGCGCAACTGCTTGTAGTTGGCATTATTTTGCCTGTGTTGATCTGCCTGTCTGTCTGTCTGTCTGTCTGTCGGTCTGTCTGTCGGTCTGTCTGTCTGTCTGTCTGTCCGTCTGTCTGTGTCTTTTTCTGGTTGGAAAGGGAAACCAAAAGAACCACCACCAGGGGGTGTCCAACTTCCGCATTTCGGATCATTTTCGCCAGTCGGAGTTGGATGATGGCGAGGAGGAAGAGGAAGCAGGCGCTCTCGGTCAGCTGATACCTTTCCGGTACGCAGTCCAGTTGAAGGTTATTCTTAGCCCAAGCGTGGAGGTTACATCCTACTAAGTCAATTGTTCCTGGCCTTGGCTGAGCTTGCTTTCCAGAGGAGCAGGTGTTCTGTTTTATGCACCTCAGATTGCTGATGTGTTTCAGGCAGTTTGGCCTGGTAGTAGAGAGCAATCTTGGGGAATACGGTATGGCGGGGAAAGATGGGTCGCTTGTTGAGTGTCCTAAGTTGAACCCAAAACCCCCATCGACCATTTTAAATGAAGTGGTTCTACTACCTGGTTCAACTAGGGTTATACAAACCTAAAGTCAACGGACTTTTGGGCACTGCTGCCGTGACTCACACAAAACGCGAAGCAGGCAGCACCGCCAGCGAAGCCGAGTCCGGCAAGGAGTCTGAGACGGAGGCCAGAGGAGCAATCAAAAACATGAAATTTGTCAAAAGTAGGGTGACCCCCCAAAAAAAAACCCAAAAAACCACTATAGGATTCCAGCCAATCCTAGATGGGAAAGAAATAGGTACCCAAAATGGGCGTTCCTTTGGTTCTCCTTTTAAACAAATCTGGCCTGGAAAGGATGGCCTCAAACACCAAACTTGCCGAAGCTGAATAGGTGTGGGTGGCCTCCTTGATCGATGAAGGGAAGCATATGACCTGCGATCCAAGATGTTCGCCCTGACTTTCTCTTCACCGTTGAGACGACAAGTATGGCAAATGCGTCTGGTTGTGCCAGTGAGTTGGCAGACACTCAATCCCGCCAAGAGACTGCAAGATATCAGGTGCCGAATCTATGAATCCAAGGTGCAGGATCCACCTACAGAATGACATGCTGGAAGGGGGTCATTAGGGGAGGCTCGCCCGGTAGCACATGGTAGCACGAGCAGCTGTATTCAGTTAGGTTGTCATCGCGAGTTTGGGTCAATGGTTCTGAGGATTTCGCATGGCTCCAAAACTCGGACAGCAAGCGGCCGGTTTTCGAAGCCCTCGGCCTGTTGCACTGGGAAGGGTACCGGAGTGGTTCTTTGTTCCAGGCCGGCAGTTATCCGCATGCGTCCCACATTTGCCGCATGGCTTAAATTCTAACACAGAACCTCAAACATGTTGTAAATGATGTCCACCCAAGTGTCCCTCATTGAAATTCACACTCAACTGTTGGAGGCATCTCGGATTCCTGGCATTTCCGAATGTCCTAGCTACACTTGTTAGGAGCATGCAGTCGCCTTGTGAAATCCACTTTGACGTTGTGGGATCCACTTATCCTTTGTTTGGCTGTGATTTTTCATGGGGAGCCTCAAGCAGAATCGGGGGTCATAAATCCGCAGGTTTTTGAAATGTCCACCTGTCTGGTCTAGAGTTATCCTTCTGCCAAGACATTTGAGTGAGGTGTATTTGCGACACGCAGCCCGACAGGCGACCAGCCCCTTTTCAATTCGCCGGGCGTGGCCGGCTTTCTTGCAGAGAGGCTTGTCGGCTGCCAGCGCTGGACTGATGCACGGCTTTGAGTGAATGCCTTCGAATTGCATGAAGGGCACCAACTCCTCGAAACTCTGACCCATACGTGGAACACAGAAGGTCCCCCTCCAGCACACTCATGTAAATGACGTGTTGCACTTCTGAGGGTCAAACACCGGGGATGCCGCATTTTTGCTGGGCCTTCACAATGGCTTTGCAAGTTAGCTCCGAGTGGTAGAGCCGTTGAGAAATCTCAAAAGTCATTTGACTCCCCATCCGTTGATCGCGTTTTTCAGTGCACATGAAGGACTGCCACTTGTTCAAGAGGTGGGCTCGTCGTATATCATGGACCTAGTGGGGGGCTATCCTGGATAAGCCCATGACAAGGCAAGTTGATAAGCCCTTACTAAGGCCTTATTAAGACGTTAACTAGCGAGTCCCCCCCCCCCGCTCCAGTTCGCCCCCGGGTCGTGTTGCTCGGCTGATCGCCAGGCTGCAGATCGCCAGGATCCCAAGAAGAAGCGCCGCAAAGCCAAACGAGGCGCGTCGCGAGTCGATGCGCTCGCATCCAGTGGCGCCGTTTCCCTTCAAACTCAACGAAGAAAGGAGTGCCGAAGCTATTTGTCCCATGGCTACTGGGGGTCTGGGCAACTTGTTGTGCAGATGTGCGGGGTTGTTTGGTTTTCAATCGGAAGGGCCCCCCATCACTCCGTCCCACGTGTTGAATCATTGCTGGTAATTGGCCTTGTGAAAGATGTGGAGCCTTGCCGCTCCATACTTCGGTGCCAGCACCGTTACCACACCCAGCGGTGTTTGTCTGTGTTGTTCTGGCACACTGGCGGCAACGCCGCGCATTTCTCGCATATCCTGCGAACCCTGGCTCAAGTGAACACCCCACGCCGCGCATATCCAAATGAGCCGGTGGTTGCGGCACCACAGCTTCAACAAGAAGCAAAGCATATAAAGCTTTTCTCACAGGCTCGGCAATTGCAAGAAGGCCTGAACACAGACGGTGCGCTGAGGAAGTTTTGTTTTGGACCTGTGGAGAATTGCCTTTTCGCCCTTTCACCGTCGCGGAGTTGCTAGGTCCATGCGTTTTAGGGGTTTCGTCCCACCCGTTTCTTTGGCGGAGCAGGGCGCTGACACCGGTTTTGCTTGGATCCACACATCACAAGGGACAAAAGGGAACCCAGGGTCGAAAAGGTCGTCCACTGAGATTGTTCTCCTCTGGAGTCTGCACTTGCGGAAACTCAATGAGCATCAAGCTGAAGAAGTGGCGTCCACCAACGGTTGCACTAGAGCCTCAAAACCCGCGCGTGTCATCAGCCAGGCCCGGGGCGTCGTTCCTGAGGCGCCAGAGAGTGGGTTCCGTTGGGAGGCAACAACACCACCTGGTCCTTGACGATCCGAACCTCCTTCTTACCACTTTGCCCGCTGGGAAGCAACTCCGGTGGCTCCAGTGCCCCCAGTGCCCGGAACCCCCCAGTGCCCGGAAACGCGCGGAAATTCTCATGAGCATGTCTGGCTGGCCGGGATGTACATAGAGAGCGTCATGCCTCTGGCCCTACGCCTAACGTCGTGAAGGCTCTCAAGGTGGGGGTGTTTTTTGTTTTGGGAACCCTTCAGTTGGTTGGCTTGAACGGGAAACTCACATCAAACCACAAGGGGAAGTCCTCTCATTTTGAGACAAACCCTGGTGTTTCAGATGCCACGTTTAGCCGAGACAGATAGGCCCACGGGGAAAAAGGGCCAGAGGCGTGTGGCTCATTTGTCATAAGGTTTCTCTAGGCTTTACCTCGAATGAGGCTTGTGCATCCTCCCTTCCCTCCAATCAAAGCACAATCTTCAGAGGATACATCCCTCCAGCGAAGTAGTATTGATTTCCTTTTCAGCGCAAGGCGGGGGGTTCGCGGAAATTCTGTTTACAACTAAGAATTGTGGTCGTAGAATTGCTGGATTATGCATGTTACTCCAAACACCCACGGCATTTAAGAAAAGTGGGAAGGGAGTACTCTCTGCGGCTCGAGGATCTGTTTCCAAGCCGCGACGCGCAGTCCCTTGGAAGCAATCCCCTTGTTGAGGCGCCTGGATTTTTCGGGGGAGTGTTGCTCGCTGGCGGTCGACCGATCGCCAGAGAGAGGCGTGCAAGGGGCAAAAATGGTCGGAAGCATTCTGGAGCCCCAACAATTTCGCCCTCTTATTCTTGTAGTCACTAGTTAATTCAATGTCAGACAAAACACGGCCTTGTGTTTCTGTACACATGCAACAAGGTGGTCGTTTGTAAATGACTGATGTTGGTGCCTGTTTGGTGATTCTTGAACATGTTGATGCAGAGGCCACAGTGGCCATTTGTCCTGCATGCCATCAAATAGTGAGCAACCCCGCGCGCGCACACGTGGTTTGTGGCTCAAGGCCACAGCATGAGTCAAGTCAGAATGCACAGAAGGCCTCAATCAAATGGATCAGCAGGTGCAAGATTTAGGCCTCCAGTTCCCCGGCATCTTGAAGTTTTGGATGTTTTGGGCCTTGAACCAGCGTTTTATCACATGTTTCATTTTTGCCTCAGGTGCGGGACGGGACGTCGAAAAAAGACATGGGAGCCTAGCTGGAGAGCAGTACAACTCTGTGACTCAGTTTATTCTTTAGCGCCCGGTTGCAGAACGCCTCATGGCCAATGCAGTCGCGAGGCGCCGGTGAAATTCGTTTCGGGGAAGCAAATTGCAGCGGTTGGAAGACTTTGCCAAATGGTTGGAGCCTTCTGCCACTGGTTGGTGGACACGAATGGGTGGGGGTTAAAGTTAAACCACCAGGGGACCACTGGTTTTAGTCGATTTTCTTTCAATTTTGGGTACCTGTTTTTGACCCACATCCACATCCCCTTGTACATGTCAACGATTAACATGATGTCACGAAAGGGTTCTCAGTTAAGACTCATGAAAATCACTGACCACGAAGCACACATCATGCGCACAGTTCGACTAAGACACATTGAGGGAAGATGTCTAGGTATGTATTTGTGCCATGTTGCCTTTAACAGCTTTGAATGATGGTTCTGATGTGTGTCCAAGCATTTCTTCACATGTTCCTGCCAGATGTTCGGTCATTGAGGCCTGCACTTTGCCGGTCTTACACCGTTCTGTCGGCGGTACTGTCCAACCGGATCGAGTCAACTGTGCGTTTCAGGATTTGGAGGGGGAACGGCACTCGGCGTGCAACAACGATCTCTGTGCAAGAAACCAACTCCGATCCCCTTCGGACTTTCAGACCAGCCCGTAGTTGGTTGTCAATGGTTCCATGACTTTCGTATGTGAACAGGAAGCAGTTTGTCAAAAGGCTTTGCCTAGACTCAGCCGGAGGGATTGGGGCTTTTTGACGGTCCGAGAAAGTAGCGCCGGCCTTGGATTTCGATACAGCCCTGGGGGATCTCTGACCATGCGCGACCATGTGCGCTAGTCATGCATTGTGCAAGTAGTGCTTTGAGCAGGGCTGCGCAAGCGGATGGGTGCAGCGCCACCACTTTCGTATTCACAAGTTGCAACTTCCTAGACGGAGCCGCACGAGTGCAAAGCACGTGTTTTTTCCCACCTGAACATCTCACCCCTTTGGTTGGGAGGGTTCCCCTACTAAAATAGACTACAACAAAAGATCGTTGATACCGTAAGCTCTAACTTCTCTACTGGAGGACCTAGGCAGAGGATCGGCTCCAAATATCTTGACGGAGCAGCCGCACCGGCCAGGCACTGCAAACGGATGGAGCCACCGGCCGAGACCTGAGGATCGAGCCAAGCAACGTGGGTGTGTGTGTGTGTGTGGGGTGTGTGTGGGTGTGTGGGTGTGTGGGTGTGTGGGTGTGTGGGTGTGTGGGTGTGTGGGTGTGTGGGTGTGTGGGTGTGTGTGTGTGGGTGTGGGTGTGGGTGTGTGTGGGTGTGTGGGTGTGTGGGTGTGTGGGTGTGTGGGTGTGTGGGTGTGTGGATGTGTGGGTGTGTGGGTGTGTGGGTGTGTGGGTGTGTGGGTGTGTGGGTGTGTGGGTGTGTGTGTGTGTGTCTCTGTGTCTGTGTCTGTGTCTGTGTCTGTGTCTGTGTGTGTGTGTGTTTGGGTGTGGCTATTGGGCAACGGATCTTCAGACTTTAGCTTTTTGGTTGAAATCAAGTTGGGTTTTCCACTAAACCCCCAAAAAGTTAAGCTTGTTTGCAGGGGGTCAACAGCAAGCAAGATTAAGGATTGGTTGGTTTTGACCAGAAACTGACAGCCGTTGGCTGGCAAAAGAGAGGCGGTTGACAGCGGACGGTTCACAGCTGTTTTGTGTTTGGTGGGGGGTTCTAGTTTGGGGCCTGACGGATACTCTACGAATATGCCATTGATTCGATCGCCCGAACCATGGATGGCCGAATTTGTTCGCAGAACTTCCATTCTGAGTGCCTAGCTATAATTGTATGTTTTGTCATCTTAATCCTTACCCTAAGCCTAACACTATTGCCTTCCATTCCCTCACACCTCCCTTCTCCATCTCCTCCCAGTGAGCGACACCTCCCTTCCCCATCCCAGCAACTCCTTCCCAGTTGCTGCGCTGATACATGGGCTGACCCTTTGGATCTGCATCGGGAATCCCGATCCACTCCCGCGAGGTTAGACGAGCCAAAGAGCCGTGCAAGGGATCGACTATTGGCGCCAGAAGACCCGCTGGACTTTGGGCGCGCGACGCAAAGAGTTTGTGATGTTGGTCAGGGTCTTAAAGGATGAATTCGGGTCAGTCCAAAAAGCACCCAAATACCAGCGGATTTCGAGGATCCCCTTGCAAAGCCAGAAAAAGCAGGGGAGTGTGGGATGTATCCAATAGCGAACCCTCATGAGGTTAGAATGTTTGGGTTGCGCGTGGGGGAAGAAATGGTTTCGCTCAATCTCACGGGCCTCTCCTGCCTGCTTATTTTTGCGCATGCAACAAGCCGATCTTAGCCGCAAAGGTACTTTGTGCTCATGGAATCTGACGTCCTTATTATCGAACAACGCTTTTCCTGAAGGGAGCGCCTCCGGTGGCTCGTGGGGTTCCATGTGGCAAGGGTAGATTGCTTTGGTTTGGGGTTTTCCTTGCAGCCATTTCGGGCCTTCTTTCAGTAGGTCGCAACTTGGCAGACCCGGAGCGAAGGACATTGATCGGGCGGATGCCAGCGCTGTCCTCCTCATGGACAAGAGCCCCCAGTTGGCGACGTGGAAGCAATGGCAACCGGTTCGGCGTTTTGGGATCCCATTTTGGAGTAGGTGAATTCACCACCCAAATTTGGACCTATTTTAGTGGTTGGGTTGGGTCCCATGGCCAAATGACTGGTGGCCAAAAGTCCTTTGAGGGACATAGGGGACAAAAGACTTATTTCACAGAATGCACATCTGACAAAAATGCATGTTACACAAGACTAGAAGGATTTAGCTGAATGAAAATTGCATTAGAAACATTTTTGTGGTGAGAAAGACCAAAATGCGACGCCAACACCAGGGCACTAACCAAGTGGGGAAGCAAATTTCGTACACGGCTCACACGGCTTGCAGTTGCCGCGCGAGAGATTCAGCCACACTTCATGGCAGTTGTTGAAAGGTACCTGTAAGACCCAATGTTAACCCCGGATTAATAACCCCCCTGGTTGATTAATAGGGGGGGTGTCCCCTTGTAGTGGGGATTGATCACTTTTGGAGGGAACACCCCCCGTATAATGGGATGGGTTTATTAATCGTGGGTCAACATGAGCAGTGGGACCGTTGCATGGCGTTGTGCACAACTGCAAGCTTGAACGGATGATAGCGGATGCTTTGATGCATGCCTTCTTTCTCCAAAAGATCCTGCATGAGGGCGCCCTTTTTTTTTGTTGCAGCCCAAAAAGGGGGTTGGTTTGAAGGGAAACCAAAAGGCAGCCACACATATTTGGGGTGCCCCTATTTTCAGTCGGTGCCCCAATTTGGTGGTTTGGAGGGGTAGTTTGGGGATTTTTCAGCCCTGCTTGTAGAGGGTAAATGGATTTCACCCCTGGTGCTTATAAAGTCGTGTAGGGTAAGCTCCCTCCTCAACCCCTCCTTACCTCAGCCCAATCCACGAGGGAAGCTGAAGATGGACTCCGAAGCCGAGGCGCAAGCGGAGGAGGACTGGAGCGATGATGCCACCTGGACGGAGAGGCGCGTGTTCGCAAACCAACCGCCGTGTTCGCCTTTTGGCGCCAAAAGCATCTGGATTGAACAGCCAGATTTGGCGGTGGGTCGAAATAGGTACCCAAAATGGGTTGCCCTGGTAAATGGAGACATGGGCTAAAACCTGCGGTCCCTGAGTGGTTTGATTTTGACCCATACCCATTTAAGGATTCCCCCAAACCAGATTTGACTTCTGGAATCCGCCGGATTGCCAAAATGGCCCTTTGCCAATCTGGCAGGAAAAGGTTGATTGGTAGGGTGGTTGCACTGACTTGATGCACTTCCAGCTTCAAGTTGGGCATGAGTGGCGATTGTGCCAAGCAGAGCACACACACACACACACACCGTGGCACAGTCCGAACGAATTCCCGGCACGTTGCAATTCCTCAACTCCGTGGCCGTTTTTTTTCTTCCCCTTCCGTGCCTCTGTTTTCAGCTTCCTAATCATTGGAGGGGTCAGGACCTCTTTCGGAAGGTGGTTGGACCTCAAGACGGGTCATTGTTGAGGGCTGAAGATGCTTAGCCCGGCTAATTTGGCTCTCAAAACCAGGGACCCCCCCCATTTTTCCCCGGCGTCCTTCTCTCACTTCCTGAGTTCCTGAACTTGAAGCTTTTTTGGGAAAACCAATTGGCTGTGGCTCAAAAAACCGGTACCAAGCTGGAACCCTGGTAAGTGGAAGCATGGACCAAAACCTGCCGTTTGCCCCTCCTGTTTAATTTTGAGCCACACCCAATTCAGTGGCAAACAAAGAGTTTATCCCAGTGAGTTCTGGTTTCCGCTTCAAAAATCCACCCGAAAGCCGTGCCCAGATGGGACCGCGCCCAGAGCTCTGCGCGGCGCAGGGCCCCGAACCTAGCACTCAGAAGGGCCTCCAGGGCCGGAGACACAACAAGTTCGGTCCCCCAGCAATTGGTGCCAACTTTTCCCGTTTCTCTTTTTTGGAAAGGGGAGGGTTCGGGACCCTACTAAAATGCACTACAGAAAAAGAAAAAGGGTACGCTTGTTCCAACCTCTCGTACTGGAGGACCTATCCTTTTTCCGTTTTCTGCTTGTTTAGTTTAGTTTATTTTTCTCCGGGGGGGGGGTTGGCACCCTCCAGAGATAGAATTGCAAGTGGCACGACAGGAAGGTCAAAGCTCTGTTGCTAGCTCCCGAAAAGCGTTCTGCGGAGCAGAGGGGAATAAAAGTCGTACCAAAGTCTGCCAATATTTTGTGTCTGTGAGCACACATCTCATTGAGATGAGGTCTCATCCCTCATCTCATTCTATTCTCAAGAGACACAAGCATCTGTCTCTTCTGAACTCAGAGACCACACCATTCCCAAGCTGAGTGGAGAAGAGACCTGGAAATCCCGGCTTGGATGGGAAGAGTGTCTTCTTTTGAGGGTTCGCTTTCCGCGGTCAGGAAAGCCAACAGGAAGACATCGGCCATTTTGGGGGGTCGATGTTAAGACATCAGCATGATCAACATGAGCCATTCTCGAGGAGGTTCGTTTGCTGCAAAGGGGCCTGTTGCGTGTGGCTGGTGCACTTCCAGCACTTCCAGTTTTTGTTTGTGCGCATCATGCCTACCTTTACTGCCGCATTCTCAGCACCCTCCCCAGAAAGGTTCTGCAAAAGGTGCGGTTCAACTGGTTTTTGGTAAAGGTACAGCAACAACCCCAGTTGCAGTGAGCATTGCCAGCTCGTTACTAGGTGTTTGGTCAATGTTGAAATCAGCTCTAGGATGTTTTGGTCGATGTTCAAGTCAGCTCCAGGATTCCAAACCCCCTTTTTGGAAGACGAGCCCCTTTCTTCACTCCGTGCAAATCGCCCAGCTGGCGTTTTTTCCCCATTGCCCAGGAAGGCGCCCTGCAAAGCTCCCTGGAGAGCTACAATCTGGGCCTGCCGTGCGCCGAGCTGCCCACGTTTTGCTATATAGCTGTCCCACTCATGTATTGCAATCTCAGTGATTTGGACCCATTCTCCTCCTCTTCCTCCCTTCAGGCGACGTTTTGATATATCTTTAATTAGAGGCGTTCTTGCGTCTATGGCAACTTGTGAAGAAAGGTGGCCTTCGATTGGTCTGACCAACTTGGCTCATGTACTTTGCTGGGTACGTTTGGCAGACATCAGCGAAGAAACATGCTATGCTTTTCGTGCCCCCAAACACGGGCTATGGGGGGGGGGGGCTGCAGTTGGTTCTGGTTTAAAGCAGTACGGGACCGGAGCCGAGTTCATTTTTTTGATTACCAGGCGGACTTGAACCCAGTGGCCTATTTCCTCAAAAGGAGAACTTCCGGGTTGAAGTCTAACCCTGGACTCGGAAACGACCACAGATTGAGCGAAGTGTTGGTCTGAGAACTCAGCCAATCACATGTGGACACCTAAATATGTCCAGACGCTCTACAAATGCGGGAAAAACCCTGGGGAATCTGCAGATTGAGCAGCAATTGTTGTTGGGAAACATTTCACATTTTACTTTTTGTAATTTAGCAATTAAAATCCAACCACTTAACTGCTAAAATCTCAACTTTTGCTCCCCGAACCCAACGTCAACCAGTTGGTTCAGATCGCGAGGCTCAACTCCGACTCCAGCGGGCCGTATCCGGCCGGGGGGCCAATGGCATGACGTGCTAACGAGTCGGGTCGAAGGCTTAGCAATGGTACGGAGCCTGTTCAGATTCTGTTCCAATACTTAAACAACATGTACATAGCAATGAAGGCACCCAATACTCTTTTTCAACATGTTCAGATTCTGTTCCAGGCGTCTAACATATCCAATAGTCTTGCAGGTCCCAGAAGCTGGGAGAGTCCATCCTCAAAGGCCACGGCCATTCTGAATCCTAGCGACAATCCTCGTTGAACATCGGTGTGGCCGCCTTTTGAAGTCTTTTCATTGGTCTACATGCACCATCTGAACACCAGGTTTGGATTGTGACTCTCCGCGGCGGTCCGGTTGAAGATGGCCAGCACTGTGATTGTGGCTCAGGATAGCACGCTCTACGATGCGAGGAAGCCACTGAACGACACACAGGATGGGACGGATAGGTGTTCCTCCAGCAGAAGAGAGGTCTTTTGAATTTTTTGGGACATCGCAGAGGTGGCATGAACTCCTTCACACGGCTTGGTTTGTGCACTTGATTGCACTGGTGCGCATATTATGCGGAATGGAAGCAACAGCAGGTCCGACAAAGGGTTTGTTTTCAATCTGTTTGGATCAATCCACCTCCGATTTGTTCTTTTTGACGCTGGTGCTGATTTTAATCTCCTGCGCAAGAGGTTGGAGTTGCCTCACTCAGAGTGCTCACGACATTCAGTAACTTGGTTGTTTTTTGATTTAAGTCGTTCTCTTGGGTGATTTAAACATCGCCTTTGAGTTGGCAGTTCGGAGCCAGTTTCCTAGGCGATGTTTAAAGGGAGCATGTAAGGAACCTTTCGCAGTGAGTCGGTGTTTCAAAAAAAAACATAGGCCCTCCCCCCCCCCCCCAAACAGAAGCCGAAATGTTGTTTCCATTTATTTTGTTTAGTTTTTGACCCCCCCCCCCTAGAGGACACAGCTGGGTCCAAGCAAATGGCATCCCTTGTCCTTAGCCACATCGACCGGGCATTGGGATTCTCCCAAGGTAGACGTAAACCGCAGGGGTGGTTCGTTACTTGGAAGTGACCTCATGGCCCGCACCTGGATTGGACCTTTGGGTGTGGAACTGGTTCCGGGAATGGAGAACCCCTACTAGGTCCCCCAGTAGTGCCCTTTTACCCTTTTTTGGGGGAGGGTTCCCCTACTGAAATAGACTACAAAAAAAATCGGGTACCCTGATTGTAACATCTCTACTGGAGGACCTAGCCTAAGTTTGAGTCTTCCTTGGGGGAGCCAAAAAGTGGAACCCTCGCTCAAGTCGCCTCACGCCAGGGCCCCTGCTTCTTGAGCTCCTTCTTCCGCGAGGCGCGGGCAAAGCGCGTGAGTGAGTTGGAGGGTGGCGAGAGGTTATGGGCTTGTGCTCTTTTTTTGAGGCTTGGCACCCTTTTCAGGTTGGTTTAAAAGGAAACCGACACCACAACCACACATGTTGTGCTCGAAACTTCCATTTTAAAGAAGAAGAAAGAAACACAAACACCGTATGGCTATACGTTCACTGAGGACCACCCTGAAAAAGGATTGGTGTCAAATAGACCCCTAGTGTCGCCCCAATTGACATTCGGCAAACCGAGAATCGCGACACGCTGGTTAATAATAATGTTAATATGGGAGCTTCAAAGAAATGAATGGGGTGTTGGGGAAGTTTAAGATCGAAGTTCGTCATGATTATGGATGCAAACTATTGGTCATTGTCTTGACACATGATCAGAAAGCTATTGATGGGCTACAACTACCCCTCAGCAAGTGCATCTTCCATAGTCCTTAGTATGCTAAACCAACGAGCATGTTTTTGGGGGGAGCTGCTGCTATGTGGGTGTGCCTCAAAATCGGGGACCCCCAAACTTGTCGGTGTTCATTGCGTTCCCCTTTAAACCTCTGCCAAAAAGGGTCTCAAACAAACAACGCGCTGAAGAACCACCTTTCTTGGTGGGTATCCAAAAAACAACGCCGCCGTGTCTTACTTTCTTTTGGTGCATTCCACAGGGCCACGGCCCGTTTTTTTTTTTCTTCCATGGACAAGCCGCAGGAGGCGCCGGAGCCTGAGGGAGCGGCGCCCCAGACACTGAACTGAACCCGGTGGTTCGTGGTTCGGTTGGCGGGGTTTTGGTGCGGTTTCTGAGGCTCGGCTTTTTTGTTCCCCCCGATTTTTGTTTTTTGTGGGTTTTCCAGGCGTAGCGCCGTGGGTGTTCTTGATCCCTGTGTTTAGAGGGTAGCTTTTTGGGATTGGGTTAAAAAGAGAAAGCCGAATAAACCAGCCGTGGGTTCGAATCCCCATCTTGGAACTTCCACACCCAAGCAAGCGACCAAACTCTGGGCACGGTACAGACGCGATTGGGATAGGAACATGAATCGGTTGCCGGCATTGTCAGCACAGTCTTCCAGACAGGAGACCTTTTGACGCCAAGAATCCGCGGTATGCAGACTGGCAGTTGCACTTCAGCATCAAGGGAAGATAGGGATGACAAGTATTCAATCTTCTGCTTTTCTACGGTGCTGTGTTTGCTTCAGAAGGACTCGTATTCTCCTGCAGTCTTCCAGGGCCCTTTCAATGCACGCCAAAGAGCACAGAACTGGGCCAAGCTGAACACCAACAAGCAGGTTCCGATCGCTTGCACCCAGGGACAATCATGGCTGCAGCATTAATTTGTTGGAACCCACGTTTTGAGGGTCCCCCAAAAAGCGCCCTGCCGTTTCCCTGCACGAGTGCAGGAACGGCAAAATCAGTCGGATGTGCTTCGGGCCAGTTGCCCGACTCAGGTCGCTTCGAGGGCAATGGCCGCTGGGCTCGAAGTGGGCCATGGATTCCAACTGCATGGATCTGCAGTCCTCGAGGTACTGGTGGGCAAAATCCATTTCGCACCCAAGACACCATGGTTGAAGCTTTTCACGTTTGTTGCGGTATTTTCAGGTGATCGTATCAGTCACAGGGGTTTCTGAACGGTGGCGCGAAATGGAGTTCGTCCATCCACAGTATGTCCATGGTGTGCATTCGAACATTCATGTCGCACGTGCGAAGCAAGCCCACACCGCAATGGTTTGACGATGCGCTTCCTCAACCGCTTTACCCCCCAAAAAAAGGGCTATGGGGAGGGGGGGCTTTCCCTGATTAGCCCCATAGGGCCTTATTGAGGGCTTATCCTTGGCTTTTCATGGGCTTATCCAGAGACAGCCCCGCCACATGGCCCTCCCCTAGGGGCCCATGGCTCAAATCTACTCGGGAAGGTAATGGATTGAGACGCATTCAGTCAGTTTCGGAGCTTTGTTTCAGTTTTGGTGCAGTTTTGGTCGGAAGCTTACTAGCCCCCAGCCTCAAGGAGCGTGCTCAAAATGACCTTTTGCAAAGTTGTTTCCCTTTGAACCGCCATTTAGCTGGCCCAGTGCGCATCATGGGACCCTCCATTTTTCAGGGGTCAGGACTTGCATTGAAAGGCTTTGGACCTGACAACATGTTGTTTGGGTGCAGATGCGCAGCTCGTTCTTGTTTGGGGCTCTCACAAAAATCTGAACGCGGGGCCTTGTTTTTCTTCTAGCGTCCTTGAAAATCAACCCCGACCAGTCGACAAAAACCGAACCCAGCCGGGCCACCCCCCCAAACTTGGCGTCGGCCAGGCGAGGCGCCCCGCTGGCGCCGGGCCAACCAAGCGGTGGAGGAGGGCCGAGCTCGTGTGGGGGAGGTCGTGTGGGGGAGGTCGTGGACTTTTTTCGGCTAAAAGCTCGGGTTTGGCCCATTTTAGTGGTAAAAGCTTGGGTTTGGGCCCAATTTTAGTGGACTTGTTTTGGCCGGGAGGTGAGTCGGATCTTTGGACTTGTTGGCCGGGATTTTCCGAATTGGAGCCACAAGTCAAACCTTTTGCAGAGTGTGTCTTGAAATAGAAATCGGAGCACAAGTGGATTCCTTTTAGACCCCCTTCAAGCTGGCAAGAGCACCTTTCCCCTCAAGCTTCCCTATAAAACGATCCAGAACCAAGCCTGAAAAATGCCACTTAGTTTGGCACCCTTTCAGCTCGGTTTAAAGGGGAAGCAAATGGAACACCTACCTGCGTTTTGGGGTTCCCGCTAGTTTGACACCTGCGCAAATGGCTTCACCTTAAAGAACGCCCTGAAAAAGACAACGAGGCAGAACTGATGTCCTGTTACTCCGAGATACCGGCACCTTTGAATCTTATTCCGTGTTTGTATTCGGGCGTGAGCATCTCAATTGGTGACCCTGCCATGGACATCATTTACTTGGAGATGTATGTCCACCCACATTTTTTGGAGGGTCCCCCGTTGAAACTCATAACCATTTGGAGTGTCCCCGGAGATGATTGCCTTAAACAGGCTGTGATGCGGAGACTACAGCCGAAATGTGAAGCCGTAGTTCGGCCAATATTTGGATGCAGATTGTTGCCATGACGTGGGTATGAGCTTTAATTAGGGACCCTTGGTGCACATCGTTTCGGTTCGTATTCATGCTTGAGGTGGTCCCCTACGAAAATTCATGGGCATGTGTCTTCAAGAGGCGAATGTTCATCAAGTTTGGGTTGCGTCGTTGAGATGCGTTGCATTGCCGCCCTTGAAGCAAGGAACACATCCCATCCTCAACTGTTTGAGAAGAGCACTCACATCGAACTATGAAGGGAATTCTGACCGCCCAAGTCATGTCCGAGCAACAGCGAAGACACTGATGTGACCATTGCATTGTCGAGATTTTGGGGTCATGTTGACTCGTTTCTTAGGGTCCAATTTGAGGCACATGGGTGGTGTGTCTTTATTTTTGGGGGGGGCACCCCTTTTGGTCGGTCTTAAAAGGAAACAAAAAGGGAGCCAAAAGGAAACCAACCATCTGTGGGGACTCCTCATTTTGAGACAAGCCCATATTAGAGGCATGATTCGCACCCCTTCCCACCTACCTTCCCATGTGATATGGGTGTTTCTCAAAAATTTGGGAGCCAATTCCTCGTGGATTCCTCCAGGTGGTTTCCTTTTGGTTCCTGTTGAAACCATCCGAAGAGGGTTCCGCTTCCGCTTCCGTGTACAGGCGCTTCTCGCCTTCGGAGGTCCGGTTGCTCGCGGGGGGATATGGCTTGGGGCGCGGTGCGAGTCCGAGCGGGCTGTTGGGCTATAGAAGATGTGGGTCGGATTCGGTTTTTTGGGGGACCCTCCCATTTTTGTTTCCACTTGTTTTTCAGGGGACCCTCCCACAAAAACATGTGGTTTTCCCTCCCACAAAAAACTGTTTTTTCCCCTTGGTTTCCCTTTGAAATTGGCCAGAAAGGGTTACCGAGCCTCAAGAACAGGGAACCACCCCCATGTCAGATTGATTGCTTGCCCCGGGATCAAAAGCAAATGCGGCCAAGATGCTCTTCGTAGGGCTTCAATCGTTTGCAAGCCAATGCTGCACGGCTACTGTCCCCCCAGTCCAAATACACGCTTCGTTTGGGATATGTTTGGAAAAGCTGGCTGGTTTTTCAGGGTGGATACCTCATTTTTTCGTCAGAGGGGCTGACATGATACCCTAATCAAAATGGGCATTTGGAGGGGGTGACTGGGTAATCGGATGCTTCGCTTAAGTGGGAGCATATCATGGCCATTAGGCTTTCCTTGCTGGTGCTCAGCCGGGAATGAGGGGGACTGTCCCCTATAAACCATCCCCTATGGTTTCCTTTATTCGGGAATCCCCAGGTTCATTCCCTCATCTACCTATCGCACCAGCAAGTTTCCACTGCCTGAAGCCACCTCGGGAAGCCGTGGCTTGGTGGTTCTCGACGAGAATTTGTCGCACATCGCAGCCTTTGGCTCGAGCACATTTGTGGCCTTCAGGTGATACTGAGGACCAGAGTTGTGTGTTTCTTTTTTTGCATTGCTTTCTTTTTTTTTGGGGGGGGGGACCCTTTTTGGATGGTGTTAAAGTGAAACCAAAAGGAAACCATCCATTTTCGAGGTCCCCTATTTTGAGACACACTCATATGCGGCTCCCTATCTTTGGACCCATTTGCCAACATCACATACGCAGGAAGGCTGCAGACTGTATTTAAAAACAGCGTGTCAGCTGAGCTTGGCACGCGTTGTGTTAGAAGTTGGTTGGCCCTGTGAAAAAATAGGAATCTGAGAGTTTGACCGTTGCCCAATGCCCGATTTTGTCGGAACCGCTAAAGGTGCAGTCCCACAACCGAGCCCTTTTTTCTTGGCCTAGTCGAATGTGCCGCAATTGACCGAGTTTGTGTTGGCCGACTTTTGTTTTTTCGTACCTTTTCGGCACGGCGCGGTAAACCTGTGTTGTGTGAGTGAGGTATGGAACAAATGGGCATGCATGTTCCTACAAGGAACGCGGTGAGAAGGGCTACCTGAGAGGCGAAGTGGAGGGAATTGTTCAGGAAGGCACTGGAAGATCCTCATGCAATAGAGGGATCTGCTTTTGTGGGACCCCTTCTTTGGGCTCAACTCCCATTGCGCAGTCGTCTCCAGCCTTTTTGAAACGCTTGCTTCTCTGTAGAAAAGAGAGATGGAAGGGAGGCAGACACCAGTTCTTGGTACAGCGGAAGCCACAAAAAAACAAGTTGAAGCCGCCGGGAACCACAAGACGACCAGTTTGGTATTGGGTCCTCTGCTTGTCCTTGGCACCGAGTTGTTTTCCCTCGGATCTCTGGGGATCTTCCTGAGAGTGAGCTGCGTCGATTTGTTTGAGTGGACGGAAAAGGCAAACAGAAATGTACCCTTGGCTAGTGGTTTGGACTCGTGGTTTGGAGATTTCGGCCTCTTTCTTGTAAAGGGTACATGGGAAACCACCCCCCAAACTCACCCAATCCAAACCACCAATTGGGGGGAAGCTGAGTACAGTGGACAGATGCAGAAGTGAAGAGGCAGGGGAGCACTTGCAAATGAGACAGTGTGAAAGGTGCAGGTAACGCGGAAGCAATCACAAGGCAACGAAGACAAGGCAATCCATAGCAAGGTAAGCAAAGGGCTGCTGGATGAACACAGGCAGATAGGCAAGCAACCGGTAGGCAAGCAAGCGACGGGAAAGAGTAGGCAAAGACATACAGGCTCTTTGATCTAGGCAACTGCGGCGTGCCTGGCTAAGTCACTAAGAGGACCAAAGTGTGTGTTGCTTTTGAACGAAGTTTCCTCTCAAAATAACGTCAAGGAAGCTTGTAGTATGGGCAATTCACATGGAGCAGTAACAAAGGATTTATTTGGCCATGCAAATATCTGATGCAAGCGAGTGCCTAGCTGGGTTTGAGCTTGGATGTGAAACAAAGAGGTCGTGCATTTGAGTTTCCTCCCGAATCATGTGAGGTTTGGTCAAAATGCCTCGCACTCCCATTGTCAATTTGGCGGATTCGGACATGGGGGACTCCCTCAAATTCCTGGAAAATCCAAGGGGAGTACACCAAACAAACAAACACCCCCACCCAAATCAGCCGAAGTCATAGAAATACTCACCGCGTGTCCCATGCCTTTCCCAGCGCCGCACATGTTTTCTGCTTTTTGGCCGCAGGACACCTCGCGAATCAAAAATCTTGTGGGTCACCGTGCAGCTTTTGGCAATGGCCTGCAAAGCTGACGGGGCCCTTGGCGCGAGCCTGAGAGGTGATTTTTGTTTCGACCGGCTCTAGGACCGAGTGAGGTCCTGGACGAAAAACCCAAGCATGGAAGCTGACGATCGGGAGGGTATAGGAAGACGATTTGTTCCTTTTGAGGAATCTCTTTGTCCACTTTGATGGTTGGAGAGAGGGTAAAGACTTTCGGGTCTGGACCATTTCAGTCGTCCAGAAGTGTGAATACTTGTTCTGGCCAATCTGCGGAAGTGAGGAAAGGGGTGTGCACTTGCTTGTGCCAAGACTTCTTGTGGGAATTTGACACACTTCGGTGGGTGACCTTTGACCCCCAATTAGTGGGTTACCAGTAGGTTTCCCAAGGTTTCCATGTAAAGACAATCCAAGTGCAGCACAAAGTGAGACATATATCCGACATGGAGTGCGAACTTGTTCGCGACAGGTATGGAGGAGCAAAAGGACATTCAGGGAAAGCAGAAGCGCCGGCCGGCGGACATCTGCATCGAGAGTGGAAAGAAGGGGTACACTTCCCCAGGACAGACTTCCCCTTCGAGCACCCCGGAAGGCATTTAAAACGCGTGCTTGGTGATTCCTATGAAAACGGGAGGTAGACTTACGCAGGCGCACAAGTGCAGCAACTGTTCAATGCCTGCAATACTGGCCAAGCAGAGCAATGAGTCAGTCAACTGTAGAAGTTGCACTTGGAGACCGGCGGGTTTGAACAGCGTCCTTCAGTCTCTCGCATGTGCGAGTTGTTGGTTTTTGAGGTCCAAGCTGCATGAGGGCAGGTCGGCACACCGACCTCGCCGACCTTGAAGTACTGACAAGGAAACGGCTTGGCATCCAGATTTCACATGATGCGGCTTAGGCTTACCTTTTGGACTTCTCTCCTCCTTGGCTCCCCTAACATGGTGCTTTTCAAGCAGCTTGTTCAGCAGGTCCAAGCCTGGCCAGAAAGCATCCATTGGTGCCAAAGATCCATCCACTTTGCGACTTTGCCACTTTTCAGCCGTCGGTCTGCTTTGGGCAGCACAGCGAAAGGAGGGGCACCCGAATTTCCTTGAGCAACCCATCAAAAAATAATTACCAAATATTGAGGCCAAAAACCAGCGGTTCAGACAGAGGTCCGGGCCAAGAAGGCATTGAAGCCACCCAATTGTCCCACGTCACCAACTCTCGTGCTCAGAAGGCTGTGGGTCAAAGATAGGTACCCAAGATGGAACCCTAGTAAATGGAACCAAGGACTAACAGTGCTTTAATTTTGATCCACAGAATACCCCGTGCGTGGGGTTCTCTTCTCCCCCGCTGGGTTGGTCGCACGAGTGAGGTGCCACAAGTGCAGCCTGGAGCTCCAAATCGCCGGAGAGCTCCAAGATCCGCTCGGGATCTCCGTCTAGTGCCCCTCAGCGGCAAAGAGCGGACGCGGAGGTGTAGCCGGAAGCGAGATGTGGCGAGTTTCTGGGATGTATTCAAGCAACAAGGCCCCTGAGGATGGGTTTTGTCTTCCAAGGTTGCGTCTGGTGCAGTACTTCTGTTAGGCTCAGCCAATATCAGAACCGGTTAAAGCTTTGGATTCGGAGGTTTGGCTCGGTCGTTCATTCTTGCTCATGGCTATCAGATCCTCTCTGGGCGACTTTTGGCTTGTCGTCTGATGGCCGGAGGGTGCATCAGGCGTCAGGGTCACCCCAGGTTTGGGTGTGCCTTTTTTCCCGAAAACCCTCCAACATGGTGGTGTTCCTTTTGGTCGCCCTTTAAAAGCACCAAACAAAACATGGTTGTTGTTGGGAAAGATTTTACATTTTTCCTTATTGCTGTTTAGTGGGAAATCCCCACTGAACTGCTGGAATCTTTCTTTTTTTGCTCCCCTTCCAACGTCAACCAAACAAAAGGGACACTCCACAAAAGACGAGCCAGCCATTGGTTTCCCAAGCTGCCGGGTCGCCGTGCGAGACCCGAGTGGCTGTGATTTGGTTCGGTTCGGGTCCCGAAATTCGGAGGTCGCGCTTTTGCAAAAGATCCCAGGCGTTTGCCAGACAGCAATTTTTGGTGGTTAAAGGGTAGGCTAGTATAGGCCCTTTACCCTTTTTTGGGGGAGGGTTCCCCTACTCAAATAGACTGAAAAAAGGGGTACCCTTATTCTAACCTCTCTACTGGAGGACCTAGGTAGTGAACCAGCAAACTTCCATTTGGTTTTTGAAGGGTGGGCTTGAGCCTTTGGTTACCCGTAGGCGAAATGGAGCATCACTGGGGGGGGACACTTGCCGAGGGCTTCGTGTCTGTCTGGGGGTGAAAGGATCGGAGAATCAGTTAGGTTTCAAAGGTAAGCCAAAAAGGAGGTCAGCCGTTTTTTGGCTCATTTCAATTCAAAGGAGCCAACAGGAGACGAACCATGTGTCTCGGCCCCTCATAGTGTGGATGGACGAAAACCTGCACTACGTTGAAACCATGGTGGACGACACCATGGTGTCTTGGTATTTACCAGCGGAATCGACTGCTTTTCC